TGCCAATTCTGTCGTCAGCTCGATGCGCGGTACTGTAAGAGGCTCGGCAGCCAGTTCGAAAACGCTCTATCTCAAAAAACTTTTCAAGTACGCCCTATTTCAGAATTCGTTTCAAAAACGCCCTATCTCAGCTGCCGATTCAGCGGGAGTTGTCACAAACGGTGGTTTAATATTGGCAAATGTTCGATATGCTAGAGCTGGAAAAGTATCGATGGTTTGCCTTTTATTGCCACTATCGACACCATCGATAGTGTCATTTTAGGTTGTTACTACCGATAGTTGTAGCCGCCATCGATAGCCTTTATGACTATCGATAGTTTCTTCTCTATTTCCACTACTTTATCATTCTAATTTTAAATTTATTGGTGAAAAACAAGTATGTAAATAAAGCGAAAAAGTTCATATAAAAGTGCAACTCTAAACTTAATTACCCATTAAAAACGAAACGTTACTATCGATACCACCGATGGTGCAAAACTTAAACTTTCGAAACTATCGAGTGGGAACACTATCGATAGTTTTTCAGCTCTACGATATGCTACAACAAAATCAATAACAATAAAAAGTGTTGCCACATCAAAATTGAACCTCTAACTCCATAACCTACTTACCCTACTTTACCCAATAGCGCACAAAAAAACCTACAAGAAAAGGGATTTTTTTTACCTCTTCACTACCGCACTAAAATATACACCAATACATAGAAAAACATTTGTTAAAATACCCTTAGGAAATACAGTAAGTAGAAAAGATACCTTTTAGCACTGGTGGTAATATCCCCATGTGAGAAAGGGACGCATAGTCACATGTACACAAAAGAACTGGTCAGGTTTTTCATATTACCCCCGAATTTATGACCGGTCACCTGAACATGAAAAACCTTGCCAGTTCCCTTTCTCACATGAGGATTTTACCACCAGTGCTAAAATGTCTCTTTTCTACTTACTGTATTTCCTAAGGTTATTTTAACATATGTGTATGTTTTAGTGACCACTAAGAAGAGGTCAGAAAAAAGTCCTTTTCTTGTAGGGAAGGGAAAAAACGTCAAAAATCGCCAAAGGCGATTTCTTAAATTTTTACGCGCAAATATCTAAAAAAAAAAGCGCCAAGTTGGTGCTAAATCGCCCAATCTGGACACTCTGATATCAGCAGTGAACGCGTATTTATGTTTTCGCCAATTCAAGATTACTGCCGACAAGTCGTTTTGCAGCGCCGGGCAAGTACCCAAAACACCATTCAAAGATCTGCTATTCGTCGTCTTACACGAAGCATCGAAAATAATGCGTAACTTAAGAGCGAAATACACCACACAAGCGGCTTGTCAAACATTCTTCAAACCTAGTTTTCCCATTTCGCCATACACCATGCAAACATGACTCGTTCAAGCAAAGAATTTTAGTTTTCTTCCAGTTCGCAATGCTAAATATTATGGTTTTCTTTCATTTTCCTCTCTTACGTCCTTACTCGGTGAAAATTTCGTTGCGAATGAGGCGATTTTGCTATACACAACGCAAGCGGTTTGATCAAACATCAACATGGCGGCCAGAAAATCAAAAAATTTTGATTTTTGCTCAAATTTCCCTCAAGCGGTTTGTCAAACCTTCAAACACCCCCATACACAGCACAACTGGCTTGAAGCAAAGGGAAATTTCGCTTGGTTTGTCAAACCGCTTGTGTGGTGTATTTCGCTCTTTAGTCGCTAAGCTCTCTTCTTTAAGCACCGCATGATGTGGCAAAACGCACGATGTCACTGTTGGAGTATTCGCCGGAGTGAAGGTGCAGTGATCGCTCTCCCTTGTTGTAGCAGGCGTAATTAAATTTAATACGAAGTAGTCATTGATGCATTCGCTGTAAAGCCTGCATAGTTTTTCGTCGCGCTGAAGTTTGCGCTCTAGGCAATAAAAACGATTTAATGCTGTTTGCTTAGACTTGCTAATTGTTTGAGTTTGATGAGTTGACTTTAATATAAGTCTTACCAAATACTTGCCATTGGGTTGACGACTATGCGTTTGCAAAAAATTCACACCAGTTTTCTCTGAGAGATAATGCTCGGTCCGCAGGTATTTGTTCATGTTCATAAAACCTTTGAACGAGAGATTCAAGTTGAAGCGTGGAGTGGTGACAGCGAATACTCGTTGAGCGTTTGGAAACTGGGGTTACATTGCCGGTCAAGATCCACCCCAATTGTGTGCGTTGTACGACTGGTTCGTCGAACTTTCCAATGCGAGTTTCAGGTAACATGATACGAGCCATCATATCCGAGGAGCAAGTCTATACGGCGAGATTGGAAATAAGTGGGATCAGCGAGTTGCTGGCCAAGTATGTGCGGCCACTGCTGCGCCACAATTTTCTCACTGGGCAGATGGATAGCGAGCGAATTAAGAACGTAGGCTACTTCCATTGTAGTGTGAAAATCCGGATTGATACATGAGTGAATGCGAGATTTCCGTTGAAGTTCGAGTGCGAGTCAAGCCAACGGTTTTAGCGGCGTGTTCCGAGGCTATCGTTGCTTCGGAACCGTTGTCAATGAGAGCGCATACAATTGCTGTTTGACCAGTGACGTTGTTCACTATAACTACCATTGCAGTTGGTGGAAGAACCTGTCGCCCCGGTTTTTCTGTAGTTGTTGTTGCGACAAAAGTAGCTGCGAGAGTTCAAACACGGGCGGCGTATAAAAACGCCCAGCCTGTATACTGGCCAGGTTAGATGTTGGTGCATCTGGTTTGACCCACGAAGGGGGGATGTTGGCTCGGCTTGGGGTTTTGTAAAAGAATAGTATTTTTGTATAGATGGCAACCCTATTGTATCGTAAATTTTATGTGCAAAGCAAAAATAGCGGCATTCGTGGCTGCCATATCGAAGGAATCACACAAAAGTGTAAGTAGAATTTGGTAACTTAAATTAAATAAATACCTAATCTTTAAATTTCTAAAGGGAATAAAACATTCCACACATTAATACACGACAATTTTTTCTCGATTTTGTAGTTCCGATTCGATCCGCGAATCGTTTCCAAAAATTCGAGAATCGACATTCGATTTTTCCTCAATTGATGCATGTTGAACTACGGTTTGCCCCAGAAAACCTATAAAATTTCTCCTCTGGGAAGCTTCTTAAACATAACTCTATATAAAATTATGGCGAATACTACAACAGAAACTCCAAAAATTGGAATTCTAAACTTTATGCAAATGTTCACTTCTTTATTACTCATTTTAGAAAAAAAAAATTAGGGCCAATTTCATAATGAAACACTTAAAATTCCTTTTGCAAAAGTTTCCTTTTAGTTAAAGTGTCATTTAAATGTATTTTAAACAAGAAGTGCTTTCATAATACAATGGCAATTGAATAATAACAAAAGATTCATTTAAATGAAAATAACAAAATTGGCAATGCTGATCTCGGCAATATTGCATCAGGTAATTGTCATAAATATGTAATTATACTACGAAAATGACACACTTTTTTTCTTACAAAAGGGACCTTTATGTCATTTAAATTTCCATTTTGGGTATCTAACTAAAGAGCCTTTATGAGCACCTTTATCTTTAAAGTAGCTTTATGAAATCGATCAGCAAAATAAAGCATCCTTAAAATTTTAAAACATTCTTTAATTTCATTATGAAATCGGTCCTTAGCAGTTTTGTAGAAAATGTTTTCTAAAAAGGGTAGTTAAGATGTGAAATATAGAGTCTAGTATAGAGAATAATAAAAAAACGTCCGCATTGCAAAAAATATACCCTTGTGGTCAGCTGATTAAGTTAAGTAACATTTTAACCACTTTTGGTTATTACTCTTTCGTATATTTAATGTTTATAATTTTTATAAAATTCTGGCGCTTTACATAACCGCACATAAATCCCCATTTCTAGAATTTTTCCAAAATATTGTAATAAAAAGTTTAAAATTTTTGGGTGTAGTTGTGAAAGTTTGTTGAATTTTTATAATTTTTTACGATATTCGAAATGGGGATTTATGTGGTGCTGGTTATGTAATGTGCCAAACTTTTGTAAAAAAAACTATAAACATTAAATAGACAAAAGAGAAATAAACAAAACTGGTCAAAAGGTCACTTAATCAGCTGACCACAAGTGCATGTTTATACTAAAGTTTATGTACGCAGGTACGAAAAAACTTGTAACTTCTACAGCTTTGGTGTTTCCATTCTCACATTTTTACAGCTTACTCCACAAAGTTTGACAACTATCCAGGTTGAAAAAAAATAAAAATCAAACATGACGAAGTTAATAAAAATAATAAAAAATAAAAAATGCGAATTTTTAATGCAAATTTTTTTTTTATTTTAATCTATCTCACATAAAGTTTGACAACTATTCAGGTTGAAAAAAAAAATAAAAATCAAACATGATGAAGTGAATAAAAAAAAATAAATAATAAAAAATTCGACTTTATAATGCATTTTCTTTTTTTATTTTAATCTATCTCACATTCTCGTGGAAAGCCGATTACGCACATTTTGATACCTTAACTGATTTTCTCCGACAAATAGTTTATTAACTGCAAACAATTAAAAAAAGATACTTCTCCGTGAGTTCAAAATTTCGGGAATTTTTTTTTTTTCGAGATTTTCGAATATCATGACCAAATAAAAAAATAGGTGTCTTCTTTTTGCTGGGATAGTTCTTGCACAAAATCTTTGAACAAGTACAGTTATTCAGGCAGGTTCTGAAATTCACTTCCGAGTGCTAATGATTCAAGCTCACTTTGAATCCAAATTTTTGTGTTCTGTATTTCTCGTTTTTTCATGTCAAATGTATGTGAATTAATTTTTTCGTTTTCAACATCACTTTCACTCTGTAAATAAATCAGTAAAAATCTCCGGATCCCGGAGCTGTAATCCCGGGATTTTGGGACACGGAAAATTGTTTGGGATGCCGGGATTTCAGGATTCTGGATCCCGGGATTGAATGCCCTAGTACATACACATGTCAGCATATAGACGTCTCTGTGTTCAAATTTCAAATAAAACGGCATTGTACCTCTAGAGGAAGTGGACTTTCTTGCAATGTTTGGAAAAGCTTCGCTGCTTCCGCCGACATTTTGAAGTGAAAATTTGCTTTAGCCTTTTGTCCGTTAGATGATAAATCGAAACTAGTTGAATTTGAAATTTTCTTTCCTCCTAATGCACCGTTTTTAAGTTCGCTCTGAACCTCTGCTTCGATTTCTGTTTCAGTATTAGCGTATGTCTTAGATTCTGAAATGGCAGTGGCCTGTAAAAAATGTAATAATTTTACAATTACTATAATTTAATTTGTTTTTTTTTGGTTCGTTTGTTGAATATTTAATAAAGGTTATAAAACAAAGCTAACGTCATATACACACCAGTCTGTGAAATATTTCTTTTTTTTTTTTAATTACGATTTCATCCTGGTATTTCTATAATGCATAAAGCACATCAGAAAATACAAAACAATAAAAATAAAATTAAACCAATTAAAAGTACATTTTTGGAATATATGTGCATATATGCATACATACCCAGTTGGCAATAGAAGGGCCTGAAACCCCTTCANCTACGAGAAGGCCTTCGTTTGAGAAGCCCTTTTGCAAATGCCAACTGGGCCCAGTTGGCAATAGAAGGGCCTGAAACCCCTTCTAGAAGCACTTCTAGTCCTTCCATTGGCAGACAGGAGCACTTCTACTTCTCCTTCTTTTTTGTATGAGATGTCCCACTTATCAAGGCCTTACATTTCCCTTTCTCTGGGAAGGGCTTCCATGTGCACTTCCATAAGAAAAGCTGCAGAAGCCCTTCCTGAATTGTGCTGTTATAGTGGCTTATTATTTAATTAAAGTAAGTACTTACAAAGTGGCTCATTAGGTAAGGCCTTCCACCTCCCTTTCTCTGAGAAGGGCTTTAAGGTATACTTCCATAAGAAACGATCTAAAACCCCTGCATGAATTGTTGCCATTTAATGGCTTTTTATTTAATTAAATTAAGGGCTTACAAAGGAATATAACAAAAACATTAATAAATTTCAATGTAAATAATACTGTACACAATTACTTACACTTGCGATCAGCTAATTAAGCCAGCAACGTTTTGATAAATTTTGGCTCTTTTATTTTGTTTATTTAATATGTATTAGTTTTTATGATAAACTAGCTCATTTATAACAAACATCATATTAATCCACATTTTAAACTTTGTTTAAAAGTTATAAAAAATCTGCAAAGTTTCATCTAAATTTTCAACTATTTATTGAGATTGTCGAAAAAATGCGTAATTCCGTTAGAAAAATAACTTGCACTTTATTATACTAGTTTTATTGGGCTATTAAACTACATACTCCGAAAAATTCTGCAAAATCTCAATAAAAAGTTGAAAATTTAGTTGAAACTTTGCAATTTTTTATAATTTTTGAACAAAGTTTGAAATGTGGATTTATATGATGTTTGTTATAGAATGAGGTAGTTTTTCATAAAAACTAATACATATTAAATAAACAAAATAAAAATATCCAAAATTGATCAAAACGTTGCTGGCTTAATTAGCTGATCGCAAGTGTAGTCATTGTAATTTAAATTTCGTATTTGGAACTCAAAAATTCCAAATACAAATAATTCTTCTTCCAATTAAATAATACAGACCGTAACTCACATAATTGATCGCATGGCTGAGTTACCCACCCTTACTGCAAGCACAAAAATCTGCCTATGCAGCTTCTCAGGAAGGGTTTTTTGAAGGGCATCAAAAGGAAACATGCTGACAGGCCTCCTATGAGAAGCCCTACGAGAAGGCCTTCGTTTGAGAAGCCCTTTTGCAAATGCCAACTGGGTATGCTTAAAGTTAAAGTGCTTTTATTAGTAATTGAACATGATGCAATAATAAAAGGTGATGTACATACATTGTGGCAGCTCGCTTTTGTGCTACCTTGGCTCAATGTTGTATTTTGGAAGTGTACTAGGAAAATGGGAAGAAAAGATGGTCGGTTTGAGAAAGGTTTTTATGTAAATTTCATACCTTCTACTAAACAGCTTGACCATTATCAGTGTACATATATAAATACGTACACTTATACACATTAAAAAAAAAAAACAGAATTTTTATTTCACGAGTAATATTTTTAGGCTTATACGAAAGTTGACAGAAAGAAAAAAATTGTCCGACTTGCGACATATTCAATGAATTCTAATGTAAAATTTTCCGCTTACTTCAAATACAATTTCAAAATTCAAGAAAGTCTAACAGCTACTGAGATATAGCCACTTACATACAGTTGGCCAATCTTAAATTTTCTACACAGGAAAGTCTATTAAATTTTCTATCATATTTGGATGTGAAAAACATTACATGATCTACATTTTTGTCTAAACTATTTTGACGCCAAACCTTACCATTTGTAGTGTCGGTGTGTGTATAATATTAGATACTCTCGATAGTACTGTCGAACATTTCTTATAATCGTTATTCAAAAGGGTATTCATAAAAATGCCTCATTCACCACAAAAAAAAGGAAGAAATTCAACCCGGAACAAAACTTAAATATCATGAAAATAGATTTAATTACACTGTGCTACACAAAGAATAGGCAGGCGTTCTCATATAGAAATTATATAGGACACGACTCTACTTACAGTTTTTCTCCATCACTTTGTTTATCTGTTTTTTACTAACAAATATAATAAAACTTTGGTATTCTTCAAGTTACAAATTCAAGAAGTTTTAACTTTGTTGTTTTTTGGTCGAATTAAAATTGTTTTTTCTTTGTTGGAATGACATGGGTTTTACCTTTCTAACAAAGATAAAAGTTTGAAAACCGGCTGGAGAAGGGCTTAGTATTGGTCTTTTAACAGAAAAAAACGTAAATTTTCCAAAAAACTTTCAATTTCTCCCACGAAAAAATTTACGCGAAATTGAAAGAAGGTACAAGGTATTTTTACATGATTTAAAACAAAATTTAATTATATTTTTAACAGGTATTTTTGTCGGTCCACAACTACGGGAACTGATTAGGGACTGCAATTTTTTACAACAAATGACGCCTTTAGAAAAAAATGCATGGAATGGTGTTTTTTCTGTGTGTGAAAATTTTCTTAAAAACAAAAAAGAGTGAACATTATGTAGACTTATGAAGTGGCATGGTGACTGCCTACCATGCAATGGGTTGCAATATGTCCATTAAATTGCACCATCTGCATGCTCATTTTAATATGTTTCAAATTTAGGGCAGATGAGTGATGAACAGGGTTTAGGATTTCACCAGGAAATTCAAAAGATTGAACAGCGTTATGTTGGAAAGAGCAAAATTAGTATACTCTCCAACTACTGTTGGTCTCTTAAAAGAGATGTGTACTAGCAGCGACGTATATAAAAAACAAGCAAAACGTAAATATTTCTAGGAAAAACACAGATATACTTATTATCACTAAATAAAGCATTACTAAGCCATTTTTATTCGATTTTAATTGACTTATAACTTTTGGAAAACTGATTTTATATACACACAGAAAAAAGCATTTCCTTGAATCAAGAAAACAGTATCCTCATTTTCGAGTTACTGTCCTTTCCTTAATATTACGAAAAATTTACTCAATTTCAGAAATTTTTCCTTTATTTAAAAATAGGGCGGTATAAATTTGAAGCGGAAAATTTACTTAATATAAGTAATAATTTCATCAATATAAGTAATAATTTGCGTAAATAATTTTGAATTTTGTCAGTGCTGTTAAGACAAAGTTAATTGCTTTCCTGTCAAATGTCGGCTGTGGCGTCGCGTGAAGACTACTGCTTTAAATTCTGAGATCGCAGGTTCGAATCCGGTTGGAGGTGGTTAGAATAAGGTAAGTCAATTATTTCAATTTAAATATAAATTACAAGTAGTAAAATTAATTTCATATGTGGAAAAACCTAAATACTCAAATAACATAAAATATAAATTAGATAATTTTTTTTAATTCGATTTAAAAAATTGCAATTCAAAAAATAAATAAAACAAAAAAAAAATTTCCTGCTCTGGGACTCAAACCTTGCATCTCTCGACTAGCACTCCAGAGCTTCGCTCTGTGGGCCATTGTCACTGCCGCGAGCAAAATGACATACTTATTCCTTTCACGGGTGGCAAGTAAATTTTTCCTAAAAATTAAGGAATTGTGTTTTCCATAAACTGAGCCAAATCGTTTTCTCATAAGCAGGGAACGGATTTTATGGAAATTGCCTTTTTTTCTGCTAAAGAGATAGAGTATATTCGATTAAGAATGTCCACGATTTAGCTTTCCCTGATTCCATATATACACATTTGATGTTGCCTTTTTTTGCCTTTTTTAAGATATTTGCCTTTTTTAAGATATTTGCCTTTTTTGCCTTTTCTACCTTTAAAAAAGTGATTATAGCATTTACAATTTTTTTTGTTTAAGATTAAAAAATATACACATTGCCTATGCGGCTTATAGAAGCGCAAGGACCTCTTGCNCTTGTATCAACTTACGTCGAGCACACATTTAGTATATTCAAGGCTTTTCTTCGCGAAAATCGAATGAAAATGCTGCCAGAAAACTTCAAAATGCATCTTGTGGTTCAATGTTACTACAACTATACAGATTAAAGTTTTATGAGTTAGAAACCCGAAAGGATAAAATAGTCAAAGATTCAAAGTACAAATTTTTCATATAATGAAACTAGTTCATAGTTTTTCTCTTTTTACTTGTAATATAAACATTCTTAAAATAAATGTATTTTTTGATTGTTCTTCGTATTTTCTGTCGTTTTAGTGCTTTTTTTTAGTTAGCTTTTTTTGCAATACCTAGTGCCTTTTCCTGCCTTTTTCGCGATTTTGTTTTGTCTTTTTTTGCCTTTTTTGCAACACCTAGTGCCTTTTTCGCTATTTTATTTTGCTTTTCCAGCCTATTTCGTTATTTTATTTTGCCTTTTTTATAGGTTTTTAGGTCCTAAAAATCCGTTCCCTGCTCATAAGTATTAAGGCAGTCATGTCATTGGAGCCATTTCAAGGTAATATTTCCTTAGAATAATATGTATACTTTTTTCCTAGCATCAATGATTTTTTTTTCTGAGTGTACTTCTTTATAAAGATCAAAAGATTTTTTTATTCCTCGCGATCAAATAAGACCGTGAAGAAACTGTTTTTCGAAAAATTTACGTTTTTGTTCAAGTAAAATAGCAATACGAAGCCCTTCTAAAGCCGATTTTCAAACTTGTTTCTTTTGTCTTTCAAACAAAGAAAAAAATTTAAAATTCAACCAAAACACAACAAAG